TTAACTACAAATTGATCAAGCGTTTTCCATTCAGGTTCGATTGCATCTACAGTTAAATATTCCATATAACTGGCGAAACCTTCGTTTAACCAAATATCGGACCACCATCGAGGAGTGACTAAGTTCCCAAACCATTGATGTGCTAATTCGTGCCCAATCACAGCAGCAATGCGTTGTTTATTGGTTGTTGCTGATATTCCTTCTTCAAAAAGCATTGTTGTTTCTCTGTAAAAAAAATATGTGTACATATATAGTAATATATCTAGATTTACTCAAATCTAATTTACCTATAGGTTATTAAGCCCCAATTTTCCATTGCACCTGCTTGAAAATCTGGCAATGCTATCATATCCATTTTTGGAAGCGGAAAATCAATATCAAAAAACTGTTCCAAAAACTTTAATATTTTCGGTCCAACCTTCAGAGCATAACGGGCTGAGTTTATTGCATTCGTACGCGCCCATACAGAAAAATTTCCATCCGAAAGAACGCTAAAGTCTGTTATAGCATAGGCAACCAAATATGTGGACATTGGTAGTGACTCAGCAAAGTGATCCCAAACATAATTAGGCAAACTCTCGCTAAATAATAGGCATTTTCAATATTTTTTTAATCAATGTACTTTAATTACTTACTGTGGTTTTGTAACTACAATAGGCATATTTGAAATAGTTGACATTGTTACAGGTCTGGCAATATTTAGAGTGAAGTTCGCTTTGAGTGCCGGTTCATCAAAACAAGGGAAAGCTCTTCTTGCATCAGTGGCCTGGAATTGTGTAGATGCTAACCATCTTTAAAGAATTAAAATCAAAGAAAAAATTGTAAACGTAACCTATCTAAATGCATATTTTACTATACCTGGTTTGGTTCCCAACTTTATAGGAACTGCGATAAAAGCCTTGTAGGTAGTCTTTGAGAAGCCCATTAAACTTAATATTGATTTCATATTCGGTGTCTCGTTTTAGTTTGTCATATAATTCAATAACGAAAAACTGTTTAGCCTCGATTAGATATTGTTTTCTTATACGCAACTGAGCTTCCGGTGCAGGTGATTGGATGTCTTTTATCTTAGCACGTCGCACCTCAACTCCACTCTTTGAAATATTTAATTCTGCTGCGTGCATAGTTATGTTGTAGCAATCAGCGGTTTCAACTAGGAAACTAATTTTCACTTCACCTTCGAAAGTAAAATTTTCATTATGCAGATAAGGCGTTAATGAGATATTGTAGCGAAGCGGCTTAATAGAACGTGGAAGGCGTACGTCTTTTTCGTAATGAGGTGTCTCATCCAAAGTATCGATGCTGTTATTTTGGCCAGATTTCGAAGGGTGCGTTAGGCGCACTGGTGAACACACAATATTTTCATCTGATAAAGAGCTTAGTTCGTTACAAGTAGCGAAGTTGTAGATAATGAAGCTGACAGCAACTAATGAACATATAAAAAACGCACCTAGCAGAACTACTGTGTTGAGTGAAAGTGTTAATCGCCGCTTGTGTGTTCTACTGCCCGCAATTTGACCAGTACCTGCTGGTGCTGTTGTAGTAGCTATAGCATTCCTATGATTATCCATCGTAAGATTCTCACAAATGTGAGAGTCCTTAAGTACCATATTCTCAAATTTATTTTAAAAGATCTATTTCAATATTGTACGTATTGTGCGCATATTTCCAGTTTTTTTAAATATTTATTTAAATATCTGAAAACATCAAAAATAATAGTATAATCGTACAATTATTATTTTGTTTTTTAAGAAATTATTTTTATTTAATAGATTATAATCAGTTATTTAAGTAAAATAACTATAACAGACTTCTTAGTTTAATGCCCTTCGTCATAAAAAATGGCAGACTATTTAACTGTTTTTTTGTTTTGTTTGGTTTCGTTATTTCTCATTTTAATATAGATTTTTTAATTTCAACAGATCTGATTGAATAATGATTTCAAATTACAAGGCAGTGGCGTATCGAAGAGGGATTAGAGATAGATCATTTCTTTAACAGTATCATCGCTAGATATTCCAGATATTTTATAACATGAAATATAATTTTTAATGAAGTTTAAGTGGAAGTGGCCATGTGGTAACAAACATGTATATAGTTTGATTTTATAAATACTTAACATAAACGTTGTGAAACTTTAATATTTTTTTTTTTTTTTGAACAGTCAACTTCTTTAATATATACTTAGCATTCTTTTTGGTTTTAATGAATATAATATCATTTTCTAATTGTAACGTTACTATTATCAATTGGTCTATTACTAAATTGAGAAGTATGACTTTTGTATCGAAGAAATCGACATGATGTGAAGATAAATACTCAGAAGCACAATTTAAGGAAGTCGAATTTTAACGAAGCCCATAGAATACTAACAGCAACGATTATAATCAACCTATTCAATTATAAGTTCAAAAAAATATTCCGATCCTGTTAACCGAATACTGAATTTAAGATATAAAATTATCTTTTAAAGCGTTAATAGAGACGGAATACACTGCTGAGAGTAGAAATTTGCTAGCTACCTATAAGTGCTAACTACTTATTTATACACAATAAAAGAATATAAATACCATATAATTATAAAATAATTTTATGCAATTTATTCATGCATATAAATTTGTCTCACTTATCATCAAAGCGGTCAGAGAATTGGATTTCAAGCATAATTTACATGCCATCAACGATATACTAAAGTTCTGCATATATTCTTGTTTGTTCAGAAACATAAAGATGCTATATATAGAACTCTTTCAACATTTTTATACAAATGATAAAAATATTTTTCAACTTATAATCCCATTATTATGAAATTCAAAACTTCATTGAAAGTATTATTTAATTGCTTAGTTCTCAGCCTTGATAATTCAGAATCAATTAACATTTATTAGGAGCACCAAGATAAAAACCATAAAAACAGACTATAAATGAATTGTTCCGCATCTCTTTACTCGCGTGACATGGTTGCATCATTAAACCATCAAAAAATCACAAGATTTTTCGTGCAATGTTTATTCAAGGATGTCACTAAAAGGGATCTCGGCTTTTTCTATTGGCACACATCTCAAATGTGATGAAATCTAATACATGAAGTCCAGTGCAAGTAATGGACACGAATGTTTCATTGAATACATGGCCAGCACACATATGTACAAGTGTATAAAACAATTTTCCTAAACATATAAAGTATGTAGATATCATAAACATTTTATTACTATGAGACCGCACCGCAATATTTCTGTTGGTATTGCGAAATGTAATCCGAAACGTGTGCCATCCGCTTTAATGCAATTTCAGCAAATTGCATTAAATTTAATTCTGATGTCCCATGAGTGGCGAACGAGCAAGTGCGAGGAAGCAACTGAGTCGCTACAATGTGACAGTGTTAAAGTAATTACTTGCGAATACATCACTAAGCAACTCTTTAAACACACGCTTCTTAAAGAGATTTGAATTATTCTTATATGTCCTTTAAGTTCCTAACAATAATGCAAACATAACGATGAGCAGAGTATGGGGTATGTACAAATGGTGCTAATAGTGATATACTTCCGTTTAAAATGTAATCCAATACCAATCAGGCAATTTTTTTGCTACTTCAATGCGAACGAATGCAAAGAGGGTTATTATCAATGAATTGATATTAAATCTCAGTTTCTTCGATTTTATTGCCCTAATGGGCAATGGGGATGAAGTTTGTGCTACCCTACTTCACGTGTTAATACCTTTTTAAGTTTATACCAAACAAAATACTTTAATAACCATAAACCGCAATTTAATAACATAATGTGAATTAGGTTTCATTTGATAGTTTGGGAAAGTTATTATCTACTTGAGATATTGAGTATCAATTTTGTTCATTTTTATAAATTCTATAGTCGTCTTCCTGTGCCATGCATCCGGAAAATGCATCCGGTTTCTCTGATCGCACGTAATATGCATTGACAATTAATTCATGTTTTTATTATTACTACAGGAGTCCACTAATAATATATATCTTAGAGTATATCTTAGTGTTGGAATAAAGCTTAACATATAAAGGTTCTATTTGGTAAAAAAATCTATTTCATTTACTAAAGTAATTAAGTTAAATATTAAAAATTTTAAATAAAACGCTAACTAACTGCTCTAAAAATATGGAATACAAAACTACGAGAAGAAAACGTAGTAAAAACAAAACAAGAGACTATACATCTGTAATGATAATAATAAATTTTTAATTAATTCTTAAAAAAACAAAATCGGCTTATAAATTTAATTGAAGTAACAAAATAAACTCCTTCAATTAATTCAAACATGCAGTCAGTACTCAACTTAGCAATCGGTGTACACATATAGGTATAAACAAAAGCCAAACTGCTAGGTAACTACATTAAATAAACACAACAAAATACATTTGAAAAATACCAGCTAATAGTATTAAAAAACTGGAACAATATTATGTATCATAAGTGCCAGTTAACATTATTAAAAAACAGAAAAATAATTTCAGAAATAATGTCTGCCTAAAATCTCTATACTATATAAACATTTTCAATGCTAAAAATGAAAACCTATTCTTTATCATTACGGATATTTGTAGTTACGGAACTCGTTACTCGAAAAATTTTTAAGTATTATAAAATTAAAAAAGCATGAGAATACATAAAAGTTTACTAAATACTAATATATCAATACCTCTATGGTTTACTATATTTCAAAGCATATACATACTATTAATAGGAGTCTTAAATTAGTTAATTTCAGTAATTTCTTGATTCTTGTAAGACGTCAACATTTTAAAGTCTAAATGGACATTATTGTACTAGAACTATAAGTATACTATCGCCCAGAAGAATACACTATGCGTATTTTGGCAGTAAATAGCATCTTCACACCAAACATTATAATTATCTAATTATTGCGATTATTTAAGATTTTAATTTATGCAAAAATACGAAAATAAAATTAGTGAATATAAACAAAATTTTAAGTTATGAACATTTCTTATTTTTAAATGTAATTAAAAATACATATATTACAGTCAAAGAACAATAGAGCGAGTGAAATACTGTTTACTTCTGATTTAGTTCTTATTTTGGGAATCTGGAAATGCACAGCGAATGAAGCTAATTTAAAAACAAACAAAATACTGCTTATTTACAAATCCATATTTTATTTTGGAAAAATAAAAAAATAAATATATTTACACACTTTTAATTTGAACTCTTTGATGTTCTTAAACAAGAACACTAAAACATTAGATCTACACCATTTAGCTATAGATCAGTTCAATATATTTTATATTAAGAATTCATTAATTTTTAATTTGACTTTGCCATGGTAAATCTGCTTCACATGAACAGTTGTGTTTTAAAACAATTATTTATTATTCGCTTATATACTCTTATTAGCATTAAAACTATCTATACGAAGATTTTCTACAGATATTTCAAATAATTGTGCTTCGATTTTTTAGTGCTTTTAGCTGGCATTTTAGTTGTTTCTTGTTTTTTTTTCTTTTCTGCTTTTACTGCTCAGAGCTAACACTTTGTCTTTTGATTATCTTAAAGCATACATTATAGCTAAGTGAAGTACTGACTGCACGTTTGAGTGAAATGAAGGCGGTTACTTCGTATTTAAAACGAATTTAATTTAGTAGGGAAATTTATATCTAGTATAGCATTTTGAATGTAAGACTTATTACGTTTTTTAAAAGAAATTAAGTAATTTGGAACTTTTCAGCACGATATTGAGAGAAATTATACACAGATAGCACCCATATCTTATTACTTAAATGAATTGTTTATTCATGTGAAGACCTATTGCTTGGAGTTATGGCAAAATTATTTGTGCTGGAAATTATGGGAAAATGCGAGTATTTATAAATATGTTAAAAACTTATATATTTACTATACTTATTTGAGATAATATTATTGTCTTATAACTGGTAATGGTGAACGTGATAAAGATTTGTGAAGGGTGGTTGATGCTTAATGCTAAAATATTGTAAACTCAACTATGAGACGTCTAGCTCGTTATGCTGAAGCAAAATGTTTTGCGGATTAAATTTTTTAAGAATATCACAGTGTATTAAACATTTAGAAAGTGTCATCCGCGATGATGATCCAAACAAATATTATTAACCATAATGGTTATAGTTAAAATCTTGAAGAGATAAGGTACATTGTATACTATTTTAAATTTTATGCTATTATGTGTTTAGCATTGATGAACAACGGAAAATAACAAATATATAGATTTGTGTGAATACTGAAATTATTAAACTCCTATTTTTTACATACAATATATAAAATAATAATCAGTATAAAAATAGCGTCATATCTTTCAATTGAACCTGGCATTTGCTGTTAATTAAGGTATGTGAGTACTCTCACCCATAACATTAGGTCAATAGTGCACATAAAAATTGAAATTAGAGTCAAAACGTAGATTGCAAATGCTCTAACTAGTTCGAACCTATGAAAGCAAGATTTAACCAAAATACTGAAATTATATTCGGTTTTGTTTATCTGACCAAAAATCGGACGATCGAATAATTAAGTCATGAAAATTGTTTGAGCTACGATTTATATATTATCATTCTATATTATTAGTAATCACTCGTCATGAACACAAATACATATAATTTGCTCAAAGTAATTGATACGTTTAGCATATGTAGAAATTCTTCTGATATAGACATAATTTGAGAATAAAGAATTGTACACATTGTATGGCAGGCAGGGAAGCAGGCGAGCAGCGTGTTTACTGTGTTTATTCGCATGCATGTGATAATTGAATTTTGGTGAGCGTTGGACAAGACCGTCTAAGCGGTATTAGTGCTAGGGGCCACAGCAGAGCACATGGAGATGAGCAAATACTAAGTACAAAGCAACTTACTTACCCACATCTCATTTTGAACATTGAACGCACCATGAATGAGGGCAGTCATTTATGCGTTCTATAAGCTTAGGAAGAAAAAATATTCGCACTTCGATTTAATTTTTTTAATTGAGAATAATTATTTGTTTGAACATTCACCAGATGGTACTTGAAATGCGATGGACTCTTCGACTGGAAAACAGCAGTTTCAAGTGTAGTAATATAATATACAATATTATACATTTATAAATTAAGCAATTAATAAAACATTTATAAAATTAATTACCTTTAGAAATAAAAAAATGGGGGATTAATGGGGTCGAGGCAGAATATGGGATTGCAATAGAGATGAAATTTATAATAATTAAATACATATATTGCGATTGAGGCCAGAATTAACACTCCCATATCCACTTAAATTAAATATTTTATTACGATAAGTACTAACTCATGTTAATGAGTACAATTAAGGGTTTGATTCAATTTTTTCATAAATGAGCCCCAAATTAAGCAGAATATATTGAAGTAGTAACCATACATATTCATAACGTCTTGTTTATCAATAATTGCTTAGTAGTCCATTTATCACAGAGTCTACTTCTCTATAGAGAAATAGATCTATTATTCTGGAAAGAGTATTGCACCGATACTTCTGTTCACCTTTATAAAGTCTTAATTACGTTGTTATAAAATATATATTTTCTTTTAATTTATTTAAGAAAAATGCAAAATAAAATAAAATATAAATTTTTTTATCAAGAGAACTTCGAAATCAAAGTGATCAAAATAAAAACACAAACCTTAATTTCAACTGAAAGCGCGTCAAAATGCCACCGGTAAATATGTTCTTAAGCAATACTAGTTTCTACTATATTGCTATTGTACTATATTATATTAAATTTTAATAAAATTATATTTTAATAAAATTTATGTTAAATATTTATACACTTCTTGAACCTTTCGTCGGTTAAAAAATACAAAATAAAGCCCTATTTGCACACTACAAAATATCGGAAACCGTTACACTTAAAACAGTTATTACAGTTACAAAAGCAAATAAATACTTAAGGCACCAATAACATATAATTTTTATTTATTTTTTAGTTAACATTAGCAGTTCATAAACAACGCAATTGCGAAAATTATTTATTAAATGTTTAAAATATTCTATAGAAATTGTTTAATTCCTTTGTATTTATATTTGTCTTTATCGTAATGTTTTTAAAAATAATTTTAAATATAAAAATTTCAGTTCAAATTTATTCGAAACAACAACAGCGCACAACGGAGCGTCCAAACACAACCAAACCGCACAGTAGATGAAATCAAACTGGAATTTCGTTGATGAACGTCAAAAAAATGTAGTCTCCTTTTCATTTAGTAGTAGAATATTGTAGTAGTGCGTTGCGCCTATTTTGCTTACAAACGGCTTTATCTGCTTCTTTTCTTGCTTCTTTTGCTTCTTTTCTTGCCCAATTCAAAATATACAGTCCTTACATCAGTCCTTCTTATCGGTTTATAATAATAAACATAATTGCTACTGCACATTGCAGTAGCATTTATTCCCAAATATATGTTAATAGTCGTGCTCTTCTTTAACATATGCACATCAAAAGTTTGTTTATTTCTTATCTGACGTAGGTGTTTGAATAATGAAAACACACCAATTATGACGTAAAGATTTGCCGAATTGCAATTTGCATAGCGTGTTAACGACCTCTTCGCAATTGAGTATGGAATAAATGCGTGGGTGGAACAAGTCATAATTATTGTATAAGTCATAATATAAACAATAAATTACAAAAAGCTATCTTAATAATTATTTATATATTAAGATATTATAAATCATATACGAGTGTAATATTATGTTATATGCATTCATTTAACAATATACATTAATTGTATATAATTTATTTTTATTTCTTGAAGTGTATGTATGAAATATTCTCAAACATTTACTAAATATATTTCATATTTTATATTTAACGTTTGTCCATTGTTGTATAAAATATCTGAGTATAGCCAAGCAAAATTTGATAGACGAACCCGGCTCTCAGATCTGGAGATCTGTAGTTAACTGCTTGAACTAAGGCGTAATCTGCTTACCAGCACGGTTTTAATGCTGACGGTTCACTGCATAATAGGAAGGCATATTATGAAACTGGGTCTAAGCCATAATGACTTTTGTCAAGATTATGGCTCTACGGTTATTGGAACAATTATAAAATTTATTAACATTTCGAAGTATTTAAATGGTAAAAAAATAATAATTGTAACTGATATTATTGTAATTTTGTGATTATTTATATATAAGGGTAAAGAAAATTATGTAAAAACCTTTATAAAAAATATTATAAATATATTGTATTCCAAAAAATTATTAATAATAATTTTAATAAATAAAACTCTTTTAATAAAAAAAAAAAAAGAATTGTCATATGTTATTATATTCTATTATTAATTATTATTATTTATTATTATTATTATTATTTATTATTATTATTATTATTATTATTATTTATTATTATTATTATTTATTGATTTAAAAATTCATACAGCACTTACCAAAAATTTTGAAATCTTACTTAAAATCTAAATTGACAATAACATATTTGTGTGGTGCATTTTATTAACATTATTACTCATATAAATTCATAAATAATTAATCTCCTGTAACTTAAAACACTTTTCATAAATTTGCACAGGTTATAAATAGTGCTGCCGTTTAACAAGACTTTAGCTTCTTCTTCGGACAGAAGTGTTTTATCAAAAAAATCCATCTGTGTTCTCTGAAAATTGGACATACACCAATAATATGACATATATTTTCTATTTTATGATGATTACACAAAGAACAATCACGGTCAGATTAAATTCTGTGCCGTTCAGTCTTTTTAAACTGAACCGCTTCTATATATAATCTACAATAAATTATATTAGTTTATACAATATTAGTATTATATTACTTTATACAATATTACAATATTAGTTTATATTAAATAGCTGTAGATATGATAAATTGATATATATGTAAAATACTGATAACAGTCAAATCTTGGACTTTGTGTGGATTTACTTTCTACTTTTTAGATTTTTACTTTTTAGCTACTGAAACTATTAATTTTATATATGTTTGTGAAGATACCAAACATTCTCGGGAATTCCATAGCAAATCTGCCATTATTAAAAAGAAGATAAAGAAGACTTATCTTAACATTATCCTTAATATTATATATGATATCTTTCCTGTAATCATTAGAATACTTCTTCATACACAATGGGAACCTGTTCAGTTGGAAGACGTGTTTCATATCAAGTAGTAAACCACAATATAGATGAAATGTTTGCAGATTTGGATTTACCAAGAGCTAAAGCCAATAAAATCAGAGTAGTCTGTCAATATCACAAAAGACAAGAATAGAAAGAGTAGATTAAAAAGGGTAAATTGACACTTGCACGAAGATTTAAAATTTTAGATATGACAGATATCGATCGCTACGAAAAAGAGGTAAATAAACAATTTTAAAATTTTTTTATAATTTATATATTGATTTGATATATTGACTTTATTACCCACTAAATTTGGGTGAAATTGCTAACATATGTGCAGATTGAATCTTGCAAAATCAGTTGACCATTATTCCGAATCGCAGGAATAATATTCTATTCTATATTCTAATTATGACTCTCCATTAACTAAAAAATATCACAAAAAATTTTATGATTGTAGTGATAAGAAACGAATGATATATATGTTAAAGGATGCATTTGAGGACTTGTCTTAAGATCATCGATGTATTCTAGCCGGAATGCCAGATTCACATAACTTTTCATTTCTATTGGAATGGATACAAAGACGTTATGGCAAAGCTTATTTTCCAGAGGACCGCAGGAACTCATAGCGTAATACATTACAACTATTTAATGCTCTGGACAAAGCTCCAATTACCGTCATTTTGTCAACTGTAAATGATATTGGTATGCAATCGTTTGTATCCTATGATTGTCGACTCTATTTGTTGAGAAAGGTGATTATACACTCTGATGTGGGTTTCGAATATATAAATATAATTTATGTAAGCTATATAATACAATTCAATACAATATAATATTACACAACATATTTCAAAACAATATAATATAACAATACAATACAATAATAACAATACAATGTAGTAGTATACAATATATTATGTTGAAGCTATTTTGAGCTCGTGCACTTAAGCACTTATACTCTTTTTTAACTCGAGGTATTTTCAAAACCCCTCTTTACACCTTGACTAGATTATTGTTTATCACTTCATCAGACTAAGCAATAATTGACCTCAGATCTGCATACCTCCCCATAGAGCCTGTAACCATTTTGCGATTTGATAACGCGGTGTTGGTAAGTCTGTCAGTTTTTGCAAATAATTTCAGGGCTCTATCCTTTATGTATTTTGGGATCAATCTTGAGGTCCCTGAGGATGTCATTCGTCCTAATGTATCATGGAACTTTGAAAAGTTTTCTCAGAGCTTGGCTTTGTGCAATTTCTAGCTGGTGAACAGCAGTGTTTGAAGTGACGGACGAATATATATATAACGTATTACATTACAGTATATTACAATAAAATATTTCTGATCACTTTAATTCTCTATAAAATTTAGACCAAACAAATTAAGCACCCGCTTGTTCTGATATGCCATGCGCCCATTTTTGTGCGCAAATGGACAAAGGATACATACTTTGCTTATATGCCACCAAAATTGAAAAATCATCATCTTAATTATTTTAATATAATGATTGTAAGAGTGATAAGGAAAGATATCGAATTATAAATTTGGTTTATAAAAATTTTTGATAATTCTATAGTTACAATATTAAATGTAAAAAAAAATTAACCAGGACTTAATAATCAGTTTTAAAAAAGTAAAATCAATTTAATATAACATTTTGCATTATTTTATTTGTTATTGGTGTATAAAAGCACTCTAATCAGGAATTTTTTATAATTTACTTGTGAATTGCATATCAATAAATAAATTTCCAACACACACAAATACTTCTACACCCAAGATAATTAAGTCAAAACAAAAAAATTGAAGAGTTTTTTGCATAGTAGTGACCTTAGTAGTGGCCCATAGAGATAGGCCACCTAAAGGGAAGTATCGTGAAAGCTGTGGTTAAAATTCAATGTTATGGGGGTCGTCGAATAACTTTATTATTCACTTACTTACATGTAACGGAAGTTGCATTTTCCAACCGAGTGCTGTGATCAAGAATCAGCAGCGGTATTAAATAAGCCTGGCTTTTTCCCAACTTGGAAACTATATCCAAACTATAACTTGAATAGGTGCTTGCGGAATTTCAATGGGAGTGTTTATCGGCGCTTTATACTGATGCATATTGTAAGAGCACCTTGATGTTAAGTCTTATACGGCATTTACACTGGCTGAAAATGGCTCATTTTTGTCTAAAATCGAAAAGGAGAAGTGAATGGCTAATTCTTGCATACAAAATTTCAAGCGCGAATGCATTCCATTTCAATATATTCTGTATGAATGTGTCCCAACGACGTTCGGATGCGTTCCAAATATGTTTCAAATACAAAGGAATGCATTGAACATACCCTAAATAAAAGCTCTTCATAGTATTTTGACAGTTTAAGAAAGCTGTTTTTGACATATTTACAAAAAAAGGTAAACAAATATTTGGTGGTTGCATTTTCTTGAAAACGATGCACCTCTTATTAAAACTTCTACTTCCCAAAAAGTATTTAATTGAAGTTAAAAATATGTTTTCAATATATATTTAACGTTTGAAAGTATATTTAACTTTCATGCAAAATTTTTTGGCATAGGCCAAAACTGAAATCAACAGGCAAGTTGAAAAATCAGCTATTTGAAATGAGAACGAATGGAATACAACTAATGTAAACACTTTCAAATGGCTTATTTTGAGCCAATGTAATGTACACGCCATATTAACGGCAGATATTTACATTAAAAAACTATGGATTGTGTATCTATAATAAACTGTTTTCTTATGATAGATATACACTTAGCAGAAAAACTCTGCGTACAGAAAGTAAATTTTATTTTAACTTATAAAAAATTAATAAATAAATAGATTTTTTAAATTAATTTTTTTTTTATTTGTACTTTAATTCGTTACCTTCATTTTAAGCTAAAACTTATTTTGTCTCTCGCGTTCTTCAGCATTTCTTTGGAGGTTATATTGTATTCACTTACCAAACGCTCCAGTAAATACTACAAATTTTCTAT